GTGTATCATTGGAGAAATTAATAGGTCAAAAATGTTTAAATAAAAAAAAAGTATGTATATATATATATACATACTTTTATATATATATACTTTATATGTATACTTTTTCTTTTATAAGAATATATGTTCTGATTAGGTTCATTTGTCAGATTTATGTAGCTTTTAATAACAACCTTCAAGCAGGTTTTAAACATACTTTTCATTAAGCCCATGATTTAGTTGTTTTTTTCTTTACACATTAAAATACATTATAAAATGGTAACACTACATAACCTGGGATTTTTTGTTTGTTCTTTTCAAAGAAACAAAAAAAGCTGTTTTTATCATTTTTTTTAACCATTGCATTCTGACAAATTTTGGTTTAATCATCCATTCAGTTTTTACCAAGAACATAGAACATAGTTCCTAAATATAATTGTTGAAAGAAGCTCTCCCTAATTTGAACTTCCAAGTGGAATGGTTGGAGCTTCCTTTGTAAATCTAAACCTAAAATGCACAGCAGCTGATAAAAGTCTAAAAAAAAATGGCTGCTTTAATAAACATAACTGCACCTCAGAGGGTTGTGTCTTTTTCTTGACACTCAGAATTTTAAATATTTTATTAACAAATGTGGGTGTCCAGGTGGACCCACCTCATGTTCACATTCTTGAGTTGTTGACCAGGTTTTAAGTCCTTAAATGAGGGTTTTTCCAGGTGGATCTATTGGATCAATGTCCCTCAACACTTTCAGAGCCTTGCCTGGTTTTGGGAGTGAAGAGCGACATGGAAACTTTCCGCTTTCTAGAGTGCTGTTTAGTGTTTTCCAGGCTGCAATTCTATTTGCAGAGCCTCGTTGAAGTTTCTCCAGAGTTCATTACCATTACTTTAAGTCTCCTCTAAGGGTTTTGCTGCCTTTCTTAAGGGTTTTCTTAAGGTTTATTTACATTCAGTTCAAGTAAGCTCCTTGGTAGGTTCCTTGTTGAGCTCCTTCGCATTTTGCTTGTTGAGGTAATTTATAGGTTCATGGTGGAGTTTGTTCATTAAACCCTGTCCTTAGAGCACCATCAAAAACTTTTTACATCTCATAGTCACCCTCCAAGTAGAGATTTCTGTGTAATTCCCATACCACATGGCCAGATCTTAGATAAGCTTCCCAATGGGTAAAGCCTACACACCTCCACTGTGGGTCCTAACTCGAGTCGAGCACCCGAAAAGATTACTTGTAGGTTCTCAATGCACCTGACTTTGGCCAGAGTTCAAGCCACCTGAACTTTACCCTTGGTCAGAATTGTCTGAATTTCACCAAGGGTCCCCCATGCCTTCTTGTCAAGTCCGGCACGTCATGCTGCTGACCAACAGGCTTACCCATCACCGCTGCCAGCCATTGACATCGTTTCATGTCCTCTTTCACCACTGCCTGCCTCCAGAGCTCAGTCTTCCCCACCATCATCAACCTCTTGTTCTCATGACTAGCTGCCCTATGACGTACATCTATTATTATCATGCCAGCTCTCATGGGTCCCTGACCTAGGAAAACTGGTGGACATCCAAGGTTTACTGTATGCATCTTTGTTGAAAATCTGAACTTCATCTTCGCTGCTGCCAGCCTCCAAACTGGACCTTATAGTACCTTCAGCCCCAGAACTTAGGATAAAGCCTAGAACTTGCCCACCAAAACCTTTTTTTGATTGGGTGGGCTTTGAGGTAGCCTTTTTTCTGCCCCTATTGAGGCTGCAATGAGGCTGCCCCTATTGAGGCTGTAATGATTCTGTTTGAAGCCCCCATTTTAAAGCACACTTTTCCCATCCTGATGAGGGCTTATGGTATCCACTCCTGGGAGAAGGATTTTGTGGTGACCTCTGGGTAATAGGTTAGTTTACCCAGTCCTTTGTTTATTCTGTACATTTAGAAATATTCTATAATTTTATTGTCTTCTCAGTGTATTTGTCTCTCTAACTAAGCCAATTAGTAATTAGTAGATTCTTAAACTTTTTATTCATATTTAGCCCATAGCTTACACATATTTTGTGTTGTTTCAAGGGGTCCCGTCATGTGCTATGAAAATATGAATTTCTGCATTTTTAGATCAATGGCATACAAAGGGTTTCCAGTTAAGGTAAACCTTGTTGAATATTATATTTAATTTTATACTGTGTATATGCTCTATTTGTTTGTAAACTTAAATTGTGCAAATTTAAAAATTAAATATTGTTTGGATTTATTTTATTCTTTACAAATGCTTGATGTGTAAAATTAATTTTCCTGTATTTGATGTGATTGCTTCCATGGGCCAGATTTGTCGGTTCATGGAAGACTAATGCAGGTTGTATTGTTTGGGTGTGCACGTGATGTTGCACTGTGCACCCTCTCATTTATCGGGCCACTTTGCTGAATCTCCTCCTCCATTGACACATTGGCAAGAGAACAAAGTGAGCTCAAATATTTAATAACGTTCTTACCTTCAAAAACATTGTGCTTATAAAAAAAATTGCCTGTGTGCAGGGGCAAGTGCCTCTTCTCTTCTTTCATGCATGTGCACAACACTGGTGTCTTTCAACTTGTCACCAGAGGGGGCAAACATCTGCAAAAACTTATGAACTTAAGTGTGTATATACCTGTGTATTGTGTATTTACCTTACCAAGAGCTAATGATAGAAGGTATGACATTGCACAATAAGGAAGGGGGGATATAAAATAAGGATATATGTAATTTTTATGCTGTTTAACATCTAGTCTCAATCAACCAATTATCTACCATTGTTCCTATGTAGTTAAAAGAAATCTAATAATAGTAAAAAGTTGTCTTGTTAGCCAATCAAAAAAAAAAATGCTTTAACTTATGTCCCAGAGTGCAAACCCTAGTAATGTTTACAATTTTTTCAGTTGTTTAAAAGTAAATAAATTATATTGAGGCAACTTTTAAAAGGATTTATTTATAACCTAGGACTCCACTGATTTTTTTTTTTTTTTTTAAGATTTTCCATGTTAAATACAGGTTAAATAAATCAATTGTTTTCGAAATCAACACATTTTATTAATTTTACTCAAAAGATTTTTTCTTCATATGGTATAAATTTAAAGTAAAAATAGTGTGAGGGAGTGAAATTCAATCAAATAGTGTTCTAAAGATGTAAAAAAAATTTTGAAGTTACTATTACTGTTTATTCATGAAATTAGTTTTGAAGAATTTACCTAATATATGACTTCACATTCAAACTTCCAGTTGACATAGGAAGTTTTGGACTTGGAACTTGACTGAGAACTTGCACCTTTTGACTTTGAACATCACTGGATTACTACTACCATGCTTATATCTTTAAAATAGTTAACTGAAAGCCAGAGATGGGAAGTAACGAAGTACAAATACTTCGTTACTGTACTCAAGTAGATTTTTCGGATATTTTTACTTTACTTTACTACTTATTTTTATGGCGACTTTTTACTTCTACTCCTTACATTTTTACACAAATATCTGTACTTTCTACTCCTTACATTTTAAAAAATTGGCTCGTTACTTTAGTTTTGAATCATTTCAATGGAGTTATTGTTATTATTTTTCACGTCATCAATACCAAATTCAATCTAATTGGATGGGAATCTACGTTGCATTTGCCGCACCACTACAAGATGAATCGACAGATTCGGCGGTATTCATTCGCGGCAAATCATTGCAGCTTGGTGGCGGTGGCGTTAGCATAGTAGCATGGACGACGAGATGATTGAAAATGAACACAACGGAGATCTAGTCCTATTGACAGACATCCATTTAAAATGTAGGCAACTGCATGAAAAAAGTGGTTTCTACTTTTACTTTTATACTTTAAGTAAATTTACAAGCCTGTACTTTGTTACTTTTACTTGAGTAAAGAAGTTTAATCAGTACTTCCACTTTTACCAGAGTATTTTTTAACACAAGTATCTGTACTTTTACTCAAGTACGGAAAGTGAGTACTTTTGCCATCTCTGCTAGAAGCATAATTTCCTTCCACCATGAGACACTTTAACAAGGACTAACCCAAATCCTAATTTTGAATGAGAAAAAAGAACATCTTTCCTTTTTCTCCTATGTTAGTGTGCGAATTTTCTATGGTAGGGGTAATTTCTATTCATGATGATGTCAAAGCCAATTCTACCTGAGTTTCTACATCCCTGTGCACATCTGCCATTATTCATGAGTGAGTCTGCAGAACAAACAGCACCGGGGTGCAATGTGAAAGCAGGGGGCACAACCAGGAAGCATGATTCACTGACAAATTCTGGAATCTAAATCAAGAGCGCAGTGGGAAGTATGTGAAAGAGCGAACCCATACTATCAAGACAGACAGCCATGGATATTTGATGTCCCCAAAACAGACAACACACCTGCATATATTACTGTCACAAAGCCAAAGTCATACATCACATACTTTTAAATTACACCTAGAGAAGCTGAGGAGATCTGAGGAGTTCTTATCAAAGCATGGCAGTTATCGCTGACATATAGCTGTGTCTTTTGAGGGGACAGATGAGGAGAGAAACACAAGCTTTAATCAGTGAATCTATAGCGCATCAACGGAGCTATAAATGTGACACATTTTTTTCTAAATTTTTTTTAAAGTAGTGTCCTAGAAATGTTTTGTTTAAAGCTTGATTTATAGCTAATGTGACAGTTCTAAATGAGTCTGATATCTGTTCAACATTTCATTATAATTCTTTGTCACAACAAAGGTTTGAAGGTAAGGTATATTTTTTCAGTATTGCTTATCTATTTAATTAATAAGGGAGGTAAATGTAATCAAACCAAATGTATTAAAAGAAAGACAACAACTTCCACACTCACCAATTTGTGCTGTGCATCAACCAACACTCAGCTCTAAAGCACGTGCACAATGTCTCCATCCTCCTCTATCACACTCAAATTGCAGTAAGAGGCTTTAAATCCTCTCTCTCACCTTTTATTTTACTACAACTATAGATTCTCAGTCAAACTAAAACTCACATTTTAAGTTAATCACAGGAATGATCACAACTTCGTAACTTACCCTTCCTGATTGTATATCTTCTGTTACTGTTCCATTTTCTTGGGAAAAAAGCTGAAAATTTGCCTTTTTCTCTCTGTTGCTGAAGCATCCAAGTAGTCTACAATAAAAGAGAAAAGGAACAAATGTGTAGGTTGTAGACCTGGAGTAGAAGGAACAGTGGGGGAGGTGAAGGGGTGAGGGTGGTTGGAGGGGAGGTCAGAAGAAAGAAAGAGCCTATATGCCAGAGGATGAGCCTGAATAATCCATCTGTGATCCAGGAGGCGCTATCAGATGGGCAGCATACAAATCACCAACCTTCCTCTGCAGCAAGTGAGGTCCAGTATCCTCAGGGTCCTAAGGCAGACAGCACAAGGCAGAAAGATTTATTATGCCCAAAGATTCATCAAATACTATAATACATTTAATTTTTTTTTAAACTACATTGTTTAAATTTTCTAGTAATAGATCAAAGCAAACATTGTATTTAATTCTGTCTAAATCACATTTGATATTAGATGATTTATGGTTCACTTGGTACAGCATGCAATGTAACAAGTAAACTATAAATATAAACACTGTCAAATTTATTTGCTATATAATCTAAGCTTATCTGCATGTATCTGTTAAATATAGTTAAAGGCTTTCCCTTGTTGAAGATTAATGTTAAGAAATGTTTTGACAAAATCACCAGAGACATTATTATTATATTATTGGTGAAAATCGCTTTTAACTAAATGTAACCAAAGCTTTTTTTGCAGGATAATTGTAAATCCAAATGCTAATAATATAAACTTGTGGATTAAGCTGACTTAAGAACCACTTCAGTTAGGTGATGCTATAATACAGTTTAGATAGTTGCTTCGCAATAACCACACAACCATAAGCCAATATTGATAACTTGCCTTTTCAAAAGTCAGTCTGCTGAAATCATCGGCCATGTGTGCATTCAGCTGGTATCACTGGTATTGCGGAGGCAAAGATGTAAGATAAGAGTTTCTCTTACTGTATATCTGGTTGTGCTCAGCATTGCTAGCCTCCTGCCTCATATAGTTATCTGAATTTCATTTTGCTTACCAATATATTTCCCCAATATAGATCCTGGTCTTAATAAGGGTGACTCCATTTCAACCAATGTCTAATATTAAGTTTGGTGGGTGATCTATGTAGCTGTACACTGACTGGATAACTTTTAAGAGTGCATGGCATCAGGGACATTTGAAGACCAATTAAAATCTGTTGGACACAGTCAGAAAACTGAACTTTTTTTAACTAAACCAATAATAAAATGATCAAAGTCAGACACAAAATCCTCTTTCTCAAATAACCTTTTCAGAGGAATGGTCAAATATCATGCACTCTGTTTGGTTCAACCTTGTGCTGTCCTATTGACCAAAGGGAATGGAGTATTGACAGCAGGTGTGCAATAATTGTGCCAATAGCGATTTTGTCAAAAACAAAATAATCTTACAATTGATTTTTATTTTCACCCATACAAATGCACGATATTAAAGGTTGTATTTTTATTTTTTGTGTTAACTTGTGCTGCTGCAATATAAGATAAAATCTCTATTACCTGCTATCACCGCTGTCTGGACACAGTTTGAAATTCACTGTACAGCTCAGCTTGATTTTTTTATTTTTTTTTGGAAACAAATCACCAAAGACAGGCTACCTGCAGAAATCCAAGGGAAAAAGCCCAGTATGTTGTTGCAATATACTGAAACATCTTTCTACTGTGGTTCCCAATCAAAAATGTCTCCCACAGGGACTGTGTTTAGCTGCAGAAACACGTCCCTGGTGCTTTTAACGCACTAATAACTTTAAATGGCTTTAGGTTTTTTTTAAATCTGTATTCTGGTACTATACAGAGGACTGTACTTCTTTTTTTAAACCGTCTTTATATTTGAAAATGTTTGCTCCCGCATTAAATGAATAGCTTCCCTGATAATTGATTTTGTTATTCTTAATTGAAAACTGTGTCCACTGTGATTGATGTGTGCATCAGCTCCTGTGTAATGATGCATGTAACAAACAGAGAATTGATCTGCAATTTTACTCACCAGGTATTCCTTCAATTCAGCCATGCGCAGTGTGACAAGCTCAGTGGATTACACAAATCAGGCTAAGACAAGGTTAATTAGCCAAAACCTTTCTAAACCAATGTTCATTTCTGGCAAAAAAAAAAAAAAGCAAAAGGAAAATAATCATTGTTAAGTAACGCATTTATTTCTTAGTGACAATAAATCAAACAACTTAAGACAAGACAGAGTTCAATCAAGGGAGCTTTATTGGTTTTCCTTTTTGGTATTCACACAATAGAAACCAACGGATGAGGAAGTGGAAAAGGAGCACCACGCTGCATGACAATTTTTTTTTTTTCCTTTAGAGTTGTGATCTTATCTTCAGTGCTCTTATCGGGATTCGTCATCTAAGTCAGCACTTTGGGTTTGAATTAACCTCAAGTCAATATCACGGTCATCGATCATGCTGACAGGAGCAGATTTCTGAGTGGGACATCGGAAAGATAATCATCTGGAGAGGAAACATGCCCTCCTCTAGAAGGAATGTTGCTTCACTGTTTAGAATGACAACACCACTTGTTGGCTGAACCTTGAGGGAAGAGAGACAAAAGACAGACAGTGTATGTAACAGTTAATCATCAGAAAAGCAAAAAGAAAATCAGTGGAAAAGGACTTTTAAATCTTAAAAAGCTACATTCAACAGATGCTCGTTGAGTGACAAGTATGTTTCAGCATCTTTATTATTTCTAGATGCGATTCATTAATTTTGAAGAAACAACAAATGGTAAATGGACTTTATTTATACAGTGACTTTCTAGTCCCTTAAAGGGCTTAACATTAGAGCCAAATTTACCCAATTACTCTCATGCAAATGTAGATAGGCAGGCAGGCTGGTAGATAATTGGTAATGCATTTTCAGAGGCCTTTTTTTACCTTTAGGAAAAAATAAATATTAGAATAAGTGAGAAACAAATGAAAAGTCAATACTTTGATGCCACAATATATATAATGTGTTCTAGTTCTCTGAAGCAATTCAACATACAAGTAAAGGTGGAGTCCAAACTGTTAACTGTTCACAGTTTCCAAAAGTTGTCATGACTCAGAACAGAGGACCCAGTATTCAAGGCAAACAAACAGTGGGATTATTCAAAAAAGTGTTTATTTAAAAACTGGCGGAATGGATCAACAATACCTCAAGGTGTCTGAGGCAGAAACCTCTGTAGAGAAGAAACACAGGTTAGTGACCATGTAAATCTAACGGAGGAAGATTATGAACATTATTCACTAACCTGGTTTACAGTTCAGTCTATAGCCAGGTATGATCCAGCTGATGGACTGCCAAAAAGATGCGGCGGGAGCCACCCATAGTGTCCGAAATGCTGCAGCCCTGGAGAATGGAGAACAAGCAGGAGTCCAAAGCCAGGTAAGGCAAACAGATCAGAACAGGCAGGCACAGAGGTCCAGGAATCCGAAGCCAGGTCAGGTAAACAGATCAGATGGGAATAGGCAGGCTCAGTGGCTGAGAGGCAGACCAGGAAATCAGAAACATTATGGTAACGTTGTCCCACTCTAGACACTGTCTCAAGAGAAATAATCTGGGGTGATGACTGGTAGCAAGGGGCTTAAAAAGAGGCAGGAGCAGGTCGATCAGATGAGCAGTATGGACTAGATTGATTACTAAGGACTAGATTGAATGCTACTTACTTAAGATAAAGTGAACATCTTACATTTGACAAATGATCAAATGTCTGGTTGTTTCCAAGCTGGTTTAATAATTGGTAATTCATTAACCCATTGATCAAATACATTTGTATCCTACTAAGTGGGGTTTAATGAAAATTGCTTTGATTTACTCTAAAGGTAAATGTTTTTATTACTTCATTGTTCATATAGAGAGGCCACAAGAACACTGTTGAACATGATCAATCATTAATCCTTATATATTAGGACAAAAAGTGGCAACAATGCATGTGTTTGAGGGGAGAACTGTGTCTATAACATTGCTCTACAGTGAAACAAAGATTCTCTGATGTTTTGGAATAAATGTTATACACTGTAGTTACAGATTTAAAATAGCGTATACACCTTAAGGGATAATAATAAATAAAATATGTTTAGTTTCAGGGTCCTGCTATGGACTCGCTACCTGTCTAAGGTGTACCCCGCCTCTTGCCCGTGGACAGCTGGAGATAGACACCAGCACCCATCGCGACCCCGCTTGGGATAAGAGTGACAGAAAATGGATGGGTGGATGGATGGTTAGTGTCAGGGTTCCATGTTCTGCGCTCTACTTACTCCCTTCCACAGGTGGTTGTTGTTGACAGGTGGGCATGGTACCGCACCTGCGGCTCATCGAGGCAGCTCTGCTGAACTTAAGAGGAGCGTTCCATCAGATGAAGGACACCAGAGTGTTAAACCGTTGACAGATCTCTATAGCCTGATGTTTTGGATTCCTGATTCTAAGCTGTCTCCCTCAGTTCGTTGAGCTCTGGAAGTGCTCACCCGCCTGTCTCCGTACTCTGAGGACTGGTCTCTGAATCCCTGCTGCTCACATTCTGCTCTAGCGTTCCCCTCGAGCCCCCTCGGGGCTACTGAGCCGGACAAGAGATCCCTCTCCTGGATTCACACTCTTTTTCTATGACTGCTTCTGTCTCCTTGAACCCCAGTTGGCCTCGGCAGATGGCCACACACACCGAGACTTGTTCTGCTGGAGGTTTCTTGCTGTTAAAAGGGAGTTTTTCCTCTCCATTGTTGCTACAAGCATGCTTGGTGTGAGGGATGCCTACGAGTCAATGAGTCGATCAGAGGAAGCCTCTGACCAAAGAAACTCGATTGTTGAGCGATAGTGTTATAAAGAGGATTATCAATGATGTCCATCATTTTATGAAAAAAATTATTTTGCACTTCAGGGGTCCTAGATAAGGCCCAAGAATATGACCAGTGTTCTCTATCATCTTTTTGAGCATTTTCAAAATAATTTGCTCTGTAGAGCTATAGCTTGCTGTAGGCCACTAATTGTAATTAATTTCTGAATGTTCAACTATTTTTAGAAAGGTTCAACAGATTTGCTTCTGGTCATTAAAATTTGCCATGCTAATCATAGATGTTATTAAAATCTCTTATGCACTATTAAGTGCATAATTGATGGTCTGTAAACTTCACTCTATTGATCACTCAGAGAAGATTGAATATGTTGTATAAGTTTGGTTATGTTTAACATGGAGATAGAATGAGTTCCCTGTCAAAGA